ACTTCAACAAACTATGTGAAGAATATGTTCAGTGAGTTGACCAAGGAAGCTTGTTTAAACTGTTTGTTCGTTTAGATCTTTTTTCCAGAACTGCATCACAAGTCCTTTGTGAGCATGAAAACTGATTGATTCTTCTAACATAATGTTGTTGTGGGCAGGCAACATTTCAGCCGGCCTGGCCTAGACGGCAAGCTGAGAGCCATCCAGACAGTATCAGTGCTTCTACAAGGGCCGAGTGATGTGGGTAACAGAACTCTGGAAATGTCAGGAATGATGGATGCCGTGATATCGCTGTGTGCCTCCGAAGATGTTACTCACCAGCAGGTAGCGGTTGAGGCTCTAATCCATGCTGCAGGCAAAGCCAAGAGAGCTTCATTTATCACAGCCAACGGAGTGTCCCTGCTAAAGGACCTATACAAGAAGAGCGAGAATGACAGGATACGTGTGAGAGCCCTAGTGGTAAGTACCACAGATAGTTTTAGAAAATAACACTTCTAAATAAAGATGAAAATAACAGCTATGTGTATGTGGGCTATTGCACAGGGTTTGTGCAAGCTTGGATCAGCAGGAGGAACAGATTTCAGCATGAAGCAGTTTGCAGAGGGATCTACACTTAAGCTTGCCAAGCAGTGCAGGAAGTATGTTGGCTTATATTGAATCTTAAGCCCTGGGTATAGATTAAGAGATGCAGCATGCTTGATGTACATCTGCAAAACCTGATCTAAATACCAGGTTTTGAGTGGATTACTGGATTTCAAATAACTGACAAGCTTTATCTCTTTCTCTGTAAGGTGGCTGTGTAATGAGACTCTCCCCCCAACTTCCCGCCGCTGGTCTGTGGAAGGTCTCGCCTACCTCACCTTTGATGCAGATGTAAAGGAAGACTTGGTGGAAGACAAGAATGCCCTGCTGGCCATGTTTGACCTTGCAAAAGTATAACTCATCATTATTTTCCTCATAGCTGAAAGAATTTAAACTGAAGTCTTATATTTTCTCCACTCTGACTTCTGTGGAGTTAACAGGGTCTGATTCTTCATAACCAAACGCCAGCATATTTGGCACAGACCTTCACGGTGCATTAGATGGCAGTGTTAGTCCTGTCTATAGCGCTGACCAGTTAATCAGTAGTCCTTTCCTGTCTCTCATTGGACTCATTTGTTCTAAATCTAAGTAACTATTGCTAACTATTTCATGTCACAGGACCAGATTGTCATCCATGCTTGAAATGCACTGATGCCCTTTTTGTGTTTTCTGTGTGTTTTTGCAGTCCGAGGATAAGACTGTGCTCTTTGCTGTGGGTTCTACATTAGTGAATTGCACCAACAGTTATGATGTGGAGAAACCAGACCCTCAAATGGTGGAGCTGGCCAAGTATGCAAAGCAGCATGTACCTGAGGAACATCCCAAGGTAATACTAAAATTAACCTTTTCTTTTCAAGTAGAACTAACATAGCACAATATTTATTTTATACAGCTTCATTTCAATTATTTTTGGTTATGATTCATATTTCTGCCTGCTTTTTTTGTTAGGATGCACCTTCCTATGTAGAGAAAAGGCTGGTGAAGCTGCTGGAGGCTGGTGTGGTGTCTGCATTGGTTTGCATGGTCAAACAGGAGAGTCCTGCACTCACTGAGGCTTGTAGGGAATGTATTGCCAGGTAGGAAAATGGCAGTAAGTCTTTATCTTTCACTGTTTTTTCTGTAGATTTTCTGGTTAATATGATCTTTCACGGTAGGGTGTTCTTGGCCCTAGTGGAGCGACAGGAAGACAGAGGCACAGTGGTGGCACAGGGTGGAGGAAAGGTAGAGTGTACTGATAAAAATTCCCCAAATTTCCCCTTGTGGGACGATTAAAGGATTTTTTTCTATTCTATTCTAAAATACACTCTGTTTAGCCTACACTCTTAACTAAGCACCACACTTCAGAAGGCTTAAATGATTTATGTCTGCTGCTCTCCTCCAAAAGGCTCTGATCCCACTTGCATCCGACAACACAGATGCAGGAAAAATCAAAGCTGCACAAGCCCTGGCAAAAATAACCATCACGTCTAACCCGGAGATTGCCTTTCCAGGAGAAAGGGTAAAAATGCAAACAGTAACACACAAGTTAACTTAAAAAAATACAATAACTCTTTAACATTATCTTGCTTTTGTTTGTTTGTGTATTTTTTGGGGTCAGATCTATGAGGTGGTACGCCCACTAACCAGCCTTCTGAGGCTTGAGTGCACCCTGCTGCAGAACTTTGAGGCACTCATGGCTCTCACAAACCTGGCTGGCATCAACGATAGACTCAGGTTCGCCACTAGGGGGGAGTCTCTACTAAAAGTATTCATACAAAACAGTCTATTTTCATTCCAGAACATTACATTTAGGATACTTTTATTTATTTATTTATTTTATTTTACATGTTCTGCATTTTGCAAAGCTACTTTTTCAGATCAATACATGTGTCACTTTTATTGCTTAGCATAAAGTATTTAGATGGTGTGAAATCCTTCCATCAAACCTGTTTTTAAATTCTTCCAGGGTGACCACAAGTGACTGAGACTTAATATAGACTAAATCACAGACTTGATTAACATGCAGTAATTTTCTTGTATGGCAACTTTCCAAAGACTGAAACATTTAGAGTCTCTGTTGACCACTGAAATCCAATTTCCTGTCAAAGCTGTTTTCACTGTAGAAGCTGATAATTAACGCTGAAGTTGTGCAGTTATGCAAAGCATGCCTTGTTCTGTTTTATTTTTTTACTTTTTTCAAAACGTACATTATATCTGCCTTTTAAAGCATCTTTTATCCTGATCAGCGCAGTTTCATAAGTGTTTTTCAGTTTTCTGAATTAAGTATACACTTTCACAGGCAAAAGATCATCAAGGAGAAAGCTGTACCTAAAATTGAAGGTTACATGTTTGAGGAGCATGACCTTGTACGAGCTTCTGCCACAGAGTGCATGTGCAACTTGGTTTTAAATACTGAGGTAAGGGATAATTTATTAACAAGTCTTTGAATACATGAATACCGGTTGAACTGACAGTAGCGGCTGTGCTGTGTGGCATCCTCAGGTGCAGAAGCTCTACCTGGCCACAGGAAATGATCGCCTGAAGCTGCTCGTGCTTTACAGCGGAGAGGATGACGGGAGGCTGCGGAAAGCTGCTGCAGGAACCTTGGCCATGCTGACAGCCGAACATCCTGAACTCTGCGCTCGCATCCCTGGAACTGTAAGAAAAGCACTCCAGTAGTGTCGCTACCATTATTTTTTTTTTTTTTTACTCTATTTTTGCTCACATGACTTCTGTTATCTTCTCAGACAACCCACTGGCTAGAAATTGTGCAGGCTTTGTTGCTCAGTGAAATACCTGACCTACGTCATCGTGGAGTGGTCATAGTTCAGAACATGATCCAGGCAGAGAAGAGTCTGGCTGAGAAACTCATAGAGAGCGAAGCTCTGGAGATTCTTTCCGTCCTTGCAAAGGGAGGAGAGGGCATGCCAGATGCCGTCTCGAAGATAGCTCAGAACTGCCTGGATAAAGCAATGGAGTATGGCATCATCAGAAACAGGGAAGAAAAGGAGAAGAGCTCAGGAACTGAACCCTGAACACAAAGTGCAGTGTGTGGATGTGCCACCTGACAGCGTTTCAGTTCTTTGAACATTATATTGGACCAGTGAAGTAATTTCATTTTTGCAGGAAATGGGCTCATATGTCTTAACTAAAAATGATTAAAAGCAATAAGGGATGTAGTGAAGAATGGTATCAAATGGAAGAACCAACAGCACAGAAATGATTTTTGACTGCTGTGTAACGTTGATTGTATGCTTGTTAAAGTCTGGCAAAAGTGCGTATTCCACCCAGAGACCAACATTTCTCCTCCATGTATTTCCACTAAAAATGACCATTCCTATATATGTGCAAATATTTCATTTGAGTGTCATTATTAGTCCCACAAACACATTCTTATTTTTATTGTGCACACTACTTTTCTCAATATTTTATTTTATATTCAGCAAAAATAGAAACATTTCATTTACACTATAAAATTTACTTTTTGTTTAAATGTTTGTTATCACTATTATTGACGATCCAACACATTCCCAGTGTGCTTTGTTGTTTTAATACGTTTTAACTGAACACATGAAAAAAAATAAATAAAAATGACCAATCCTCACTTCTGTTTACTTTATTCCATATCCCACCTGGCTAGATGTACTTTATAATGGTGCTTTAGTGCTGGGATGCCCAACTATTTTTATCCTTCAGCCATGAAAGGCTGGCTGGGTATTGTCATCGCCCTGCTGGGCAGGCAATATGGATACCCAACTCTTTGAATGCTTTCACTTGACAATGAAGTAATGTAGGAGTTTCAAATTTATACCTTAAGTGTATGTACTGAAAGTCTCTGATGAGTCTGAATCTGTTGGGTTTTTTCTTTTTTGAAAATATCGTGAATGAAATAACAGAAGAAAGGATTTTGAAACTGACATCATAGGTACATCTGCTAGGAGGATGAGGGGTGCCAGTGACTGCTCTGAGAATTTTTATATTATTAAAATGGCCATTCTACAACTTTCCAAACTAAATAAGAAATGTGACACAAGTTGTCCTATCAAAGTTTGTGGTGCACATTTTATAATTTATGGCAGGGGTTTCAAACTCAATTTAGTTTAGTGATCATGTACAGTCCAGCTGATCTGCTACGTAAGTGAGCCAGGCCACTTAGGCCACATAACAATCTGGATCAAAAAAGCCAACCCTTCCATGTCTGTACAACTTTTTATTGTACAACTGTTTATGCGCACGCACATTTCACACTTAGTGAGCCAGCTATTTATAAGACATTATGAAAAGCCCGAGGTATATGCCTGATGCACAGCTTTTGTTCACAATAATCTCGGTGTAACGTGTAGTAACAGAGCAACCTTAAATACTGTCAATAAACATGAACTTGGTGTATGTCTCTTTAAAGACGATTTAAATGACATGCTCCTCCCTCGCCACTCGTCATCATCTCTCGCCGCTTGTGCTCCTGCTGTATTAAAAAAAAATAAAATAAGCGCAACCGTAGGTTAGTTTTGCGAACAGCTTCTGTTGAGCTGCTCGGTGTTCAGATGCGCTGGTTTGGCTTCGGTTTCAACGCCTTTGGACAGATATGTGTCCAGGAAAAGTCAGGCAGAGGAGAAAGTAGCAGCGCGCCCCACCAAGTCAAAATAAGTCACCCAGCAGAGCTCAGCAGTCACGTGGATAGAAGTAGATGCTGCTTGAAGACAAGTCAGATCAGAGTGAGCTGGAGTCGAAGAGCATCTTTACATTTAGAGGGTGAGTGTATCAAAGACATCGCCTGAGTCCTGAGGATTAATACATCTATTGCTTTAGCTTAGCTCTTGTTTTGTTGTTTGTTGTTTCTGTCAGGAGACAGCTGCCTGAGCTTGGCAGGTTTTGGTGAATCGGTCTCCAGCGAGGACTGTGGTATTTCTAAAATAGAGAGCCGTGGTTGTAAGGATGTATTCATCAGTGAATCGCACTTGACCCTGGCCTTCCCAGACAGGATTGAGACCTGGGATCTGCAGAAGAGGGAGAAGAGTCCATCATGGAGCATGGATATAAAAACCGACGCAGAGGGCTCTGGTAATGTGTATGCTAATATCTTATCTGGCTAGACAGACATTAATAATGATGTATGAAATTACAGAGTCTCAATATTACTTTTTATTTATTTTTATAGATGTGAATTTGCCATTGGTCCCTGGAGGTTACATTGCCTTAAAGCCTCCCTTCTACTGCACCTTACCAGGACACCTGAAAGCCAGGAGCCTAGCACTGGGTGCAGAGCATGCCGTTCTTCTTACTGCCACTGGAGCAGTGTACAGCTGGGGACTGGGCAGGTGGAGCCACTCACACATATGTCTTTGTTGAACATGTGAGAAGCAGCAGTTTCATGCATAAACAACAAATAAGCATAAGTAATCTTCCTATGCATGCATGTGTTTATGTAACAGCCATGGTCAGCTGGGGCATGGCGTGCTCACCTCTGAGGAGGAGCCCAGAGTAGTGGAGGCACTCTGGGGGATGCCCATGACCCATGTGGCTACAGGAGGCTGGCACTCAGCTTGTATTAGTGGTAAATGTCAAATAAAGATTTGGACAAGTTACACTCGGTTTGAAAAGGATTTGAAGAGGATCTTTTTGTTCTTAGATGGGGGTGACCTTTATGTGTGGGGCTGGAATGAGAGCGGCCAGCTTGGACTTCCTTCTCGAGGTCTGAGGAAATCTCAGCAGAAAACTAGTCAACAAACAGGTCTGTCCTGAAATGTGCACTGCTTTAAAGAGTTCTATTGAAGAGGCAGTTTTTACATCCATTTTGAACCACTGACCTTATCAAACAGGAGAATTATGCTGCGATACCAGCACACCACCAGATGAAAAGCTAAAGGAGGAAGAGGAGCATGAAGATGTGTTCATATCAATCCAGGCGTTCCCCGCTCTGCTGGACGTCTCTTCATCATGTGAAATCCGAGCAGTAAGCTGTGGTTCCCGCCACACAGCTGCAGTAACAAGTAAGGAATCTCTTCTGACAGTTGTTTTACCGGGATGCACATTTTCTAGCAATCATCGTGTCACAATTTCTTATTTTCAGCCACTGGTGACCTCTACACTTGGGGATGGGGTGAGTTTTGGTTTTAGAAATGTGTTACATCTAAGTGAAATACTCACATCAGTATCATTCAAATCAAAGTGAACGCCAAGATTTTTGGCATCTTTGCCTTTATTACCTTTACAGGGGAATACGGCCAGCTTGGACACCAAACAGTAACTAGTTCGGATGAGCCGCAGCGTGTGGAGTTTTTCAGGGCTGAGCAGATGCGTGTGCTTGATGTGGTGTGCGGGACATGGAACACATTTGCTGCTGTTGTAAAGGAGGAAGTAGCTTGTGCTGAAAATAGCACAAAATGCACTTGTTAAGCACAGTGAACTTTGGACAACAGTTGTAAATTTCTCCTACAAACACAAAGACTTAACTAAATTTCTTTGTTCATTTTTTTTTCTCTATAAAAACTCAACTCAATACTTTTTGGTGAAACTTTTATTTTTTCTTCAAACAGATGTTTAAAAAGGGTTTATATTTGACAAATGACATAAAACAGTTAAGGCAGCAAAATCCACAGGTAAATATAATTTAAGGCAAGTAATTAAAATTGTTCTGATTTAAAATTATACACTAAAATTAAAAAGGTGCATGCATCTCCAAGGTCCACTGGAAGTCTTCAGAGCACAATCTTGAAGGAACTGTGGATAAATCAAATGTGAATCAATTGGACACTTATAAATGCAAATAATTATTGGTGTTTGGAGCAGCTGGATTTCTAGTTACCTGACAAAATCTGGTGACCTTGAAATGACGTGCTGAAACTCTGAGAGGTTCACAGTTCCGTCCTTGTCGATGTCTGACTCTTCAAGAATCTAAACAACACGCAGACATGGAAAAGAAAGACATTGTTAGGCTTACTGACACATCAGTATACCATCCCACACGCAGTTTATAACCACCCCCTACAACTATAAAGACAAACTCAGTAATCTCACGTTGCTGATGAGCTGCTTCATTTCCGTGGAGGAAAGTTTTGCATCGTTTGTCTCACCAGTTAAGCAGTTAACCAGCTTCTCCAGATCAGCACAGTCAAGGGTTCCATCATCATCAAAGTCTGAAAGCAGCAGACTGGTTAGCATTTCGTAGACTGACATATTTGTGTGCAAAAATAACTATATCACTTTTTATCAAGGTTTTTTTGTTTTGTTTTGTTTTTTACCAAATATGCGGAATGCATAGTGGGATTTGATTTCCAGAGTAGCAGAGTCGCTGAAGGCACTCAGAAGATCCAGGAAGTCCTCAAAAGTGAGGCTTCCATCTTTTTGTTCAGAGGTTGAGAACACCTGGCAGATTCTTTCCTTGAAGGGGTTGGACTGTAACGGGAATGAGTACAAAGGTCAGAACAGATTACCAGCCACTGAAGCATTTCCTTCAGAGCATGAATTACAATATAATCCCATAAACATAGAAATCAAGCATTAACACAAAAAACAAAACATAAAAACAATGTAATGCATATGCTTTGTTAAAATCTTTTCACCTTGAGCTCAGGCAGAGTAATAATCCTGCCTTTTGGTACTCTGGCATCTATTTGTTCTTTTTCATGTTTCTCAAGCAGTTCTGTGAATCTCTTGTGAGCACTGCAAAAAAAGAGAAAAATATATCACACATTACAACAACCAGCAGAAGACAAAATGTTTTTGTTAGTATGATGACTTGCAGCTTGTCACTTACAGAAGAATTTCTTGTTTTGTCAGGAAGGTCAGCTCCTAAAAATATATGTAAGGGTTAGTCCTTTAAGAAGTTGAGGAGCTTCTTGTTCAAATAAACAGGCATCTTCTTAATTTAACAAGAAAAATAAAAGCATATAAAAAGTGATACATTAAACAATAATAAACAGTTTTCAAACTGAGCTTTGAATGAACAACAAAACAAAGACAAGACAGCCCGGACCCACTCAGTGCGTACCTGATTTTAATTACTGAAGTTGTTCAAACAGGAGATAAAAGGATGACACATATATGACACATATATTTATGAATACATTTTCTCTGAGTTTAGTAACCCTCAGTTCAACAATAAGCGCTTCTTTCTTCTTCCAAAACAAAGGCAAAGTAAATGTAAGCATCAGTGCAAAGACAACAATCACTTATTAACATAAATTTGTAACTTTTACCCTCAAACGGATGTTTTTAAAGAGTCTGAGCAACAGTATTGGTTGTTATTAGGCTAGTGACCGTAACTTGTTTTTAATAGTATTTCCGCAGACGTTATATATAATCAATACGAATTACATCAACTACAAATGTAAATAATACTGGTTATTTGAGCACCAGGACGCTTATCATTTTATTTCTCCTTTGAAACGTCAGGCTAACAAAGCTATTACGCTCTTCCTTTAACGTTATTACAGGGCGTAAAAAACACTTCCACTCGTCCATTAAGAAAATAGGTAAAGTTTGCCTGTGGAGACTTTGCTTTCGGGACTTACCTGATATTCTGAGAGCGACTCTTTCGAAAGTTGACTCGCCGTAGTTCCCATGTCGAAGTTTTCAACTCCAAATTGTACTTTGCCGTAGTTAACAGTAACCCGCAAAACTACTGAACGGCTAATGTTTTCTGCTTCGCTTACTTCCGGTTTCTGACTAGAAGCGTCCTCCCCTTGTCGGGTGTAACGTAGCGGTTTCTATAGTGACGTATATGCAAAACCTTTAAAAAAGTGGCCTTTTTTTCTTTGGAAAGTTTAAAAAAAGGAAAAACTCAGTTTGATTCCTGTTCACAATTTTGTCATCATTACTTGATTTTCGTTGAGATAACAAAATAAAAGAGGAGACCGACTGGAAGTGGGTAAAGGTCGTTGATATAAATAAGGATACTAAAAACACTTTTATAAGTAAGACGTGAGCAGTGAAATGTACTCAAGTACAAGGAGTAGCTTTTATTTTCGTAGCATAAAAATAAAGCCCTGCGAGTCCTATTATTGTGGGGTCTCTAGTGATAGAATCACTAGTATTACAGTCGATTGTATCATTCTAACCAGTCCAACCCAGTTCCACATATTACCAAAGAAGACAAAATAATGTTTCCTTTCTTTATTTGTATAACTACGGTTATTCTTGACTTTCATAATCCTTTAAATTACACAGCATCTTTTTCTGAAAAAACAACAACACACCCTCTAATACTATCACTGATCTGCAACCCAATTAATTATACTTGCAACCCCATAATCATAAATACAAAACAAACATTACAAACATATGTTAAAACATATAAAATATTATTGCACAACATTTCTATGGTCCTGAGTATTTACTGGACACATTTATGTCATAATCTAAAAATAATAGTAATCCATTCAATCCTATTGTATTATTTAAAAATAATAATAATAAATTGTTTCCTTAGCTCACAAAGGCTTAATTTATTCTCTTTGTAGTTGTTTAAATTATTATTTTAAAAGTGTATTTAAGCAAAGATATCAAAAAGATTAATTTGCAAAAAACATCACTATTTATTTTCAGTAGATTTAGAAAGTTGCTTAAATTAATATAAACCAAGACTTATCTGAAACTGAATGAGTATTCAGTATGAGGGTGACTACTACTATCTTCTCACAGCATCAGTGGGGTTAGGTTAATTGATGATCTTTAAAGTAATAGTATGTAAAATCTCACCACTAGATGTCTGTAGATTGCAGTCAAATGAATTCTGTTTTCATACCCCTCCCAATCCAAGTGCATAATTGTAACTATGGTGGCTGCTATAATATAACAACAATAAACTTGTTTTAGTCAACCAATGGAGATCAGAAACTTAAAACTTAGACTGTACCATAATTTTAGCTTATAGTCAACTGTTTTTGTTTAGCTGGCTTATTGTCATCTGTCTGGACACAACAGGATTGCATGTCAAATCTGCTGACAAGAAGAAATTGTGACAATATGGTAAATGGTAAATGGCCTGTATTTGTATAGCGCTTTTCTAGTCCCTAAGGACCCCAAAGCGCTTTACACAACCTGTCATCCACCCATTCACACACACATTCACACACATATCAGAAATAAATAAGCACATTTATCCATGTTTTCATGTGTTTTCAGTTCAGGAGATTGGGCTTGAGGATGCTTATTCTGTTGTCTCTTTTCTTTGTGTTCTTGCTTCTTTGGTGAAGGGGACCCCCTCTCAGATGATAAAACATAGATACTTCATATCTTGAATCTGAATTTACCTCCATGTTTTCTTCTCCTCCATCTTTGGTGTATAACCTGACCTGGACAAATCTACTTTTTTCACGTTTTTTTAAAATTTGTTTTTTGTATTTTTAATACAGAACGGAATTTTTTTTTAATGTGTCAGTTCTTATTTAACCATTCCTAAACTCCTCCAGAAATAGTAAAATAAAAAGGCAAACATAGATGTAGAACTATGGTTTTGAGAATAAAAGTGTTCTTGCTGGTTTTCCTACCTCCTATAAAGTAATATTGTCTTGTCAGCATAAATAACATAGGTGAGAGAATTTTTATAAAGTCAACCCAAAGCATACATATATGTTTGTCCGACATGTTCAGAAAGAAAAATAAATAAATCTTTGGCATAAATATGATGTACATGTTTAATCAGGTTACTTCCCCAAACAAAAGACAGAAAAGTACAGGGACATGAGACTAACTTGTCAACTCGTTATACTCTGACTCTCATGTTAGGCAAAAGACAAAAACATATCTGCATGTGTTTTATCCCAGCAGGGATAACCTTAAGCAATACAGAATTCCAGAGTCTCTGAATTTTTGTGTGCTGCCTGAAACTGTTTTCCTTTACATAAATAAAGACATTTGAACCATAAAGTTAGAAACTGATACATCATAATTCCTCAGAATGGTTGTTCACCAGCACGAGCTATTAATAATAACTTTTTTTTTATTGCCTTCGTTTTACAAAATATGTTTTGATTTGAACTCAATCGACAAAGAACATCTTAAAACAAAATTGAATGTATTCTATTTTTATAAAAAAACCAAAAAAACCCCGATGAATATCTCCAAATTTCAGGAGATGATTATCTTAACGTGGGGCAA